TGGCTTTTTTTCCCCCACTCAATACAATGCCGTTTAAGCTCCACCCAAACTGTTACATGTCCATAGTCTTGTTCCTTTTTATTATGAGTGGGTGTTCCATTATATGGCTAGACCACATTTTATTTAACCATTTACCCGCTGAAGGACAGGTGTTGTCTGGGGTTTCGGCTATTATAAACCAAGCTGTCATGAACATACATGCAGGTCTTCTAGTGAGTAAGTTTTCATTTCTCTAGGAAAAATACCCAAGAGTATTATTGTTAAGTGTATGTTTAACTTTTAAGAAACTGCCAAACTCATTTCCAGAGTGGCTGAACCATTCTACATTCCTAACAGTAGCAATGAGAGGTAATGTAAATTTGAAAGTCACAATTTCTAAAATATGCTCTGAAGGCCCAAAAAACCAGTAAGATTAAGCCTCTTAAATGTCATAACCTGAGCTTAGTTTATAAAAAGTGAATTTTTAAAACCTTTATCTTGATCCCCAAATAATAGACTTTTTTATTACCTCTAACAATTTATACTTAGACATAATCCCTTTGTTGCTAGTTCAGTTGCCATATTATAAACTGCAATAAGAAGTGAAAAAAGAGGCAATATTGCCAACAGAAACAGTACAAGTTTGTTTCTATGTCTTCCAGACGTAGCCTGTGAAGACTGAGGTTGTTTAGGCACTTTCCAACTCTTAGTATTATGAAATGTGTTCATAATGCATTTATACATAGTATTATCAAACAATGGCACTTGTTCAGCTGTAACTTGGTAAAACAATTGGAGAAAAGCAATTAATCTGAAATAAAGCTGAGGTTATCTTAGCTGTGAGATTTCTAACTTCATGAGTTTTAAAAATTTTAAATATAATTGATAAAGATGGATAATGGAGTCTCTTTTGGGGTTCTTGAAACAAGGAGCTAGCTGTGGAGCAGACATCCACATGCAAACATCAGGAAGACAGTCAGTCTGCAAAGAGATGAAATAAATGCACAGAAAGAACTCTAACTTCCCCCAAAAGAGCACGGGGGCAGGTGCGGGGTGGGAGGGGGACATACTCTGCTGTCCTTGTTCCTAATAACTTTCCTGTTCCTCAGTCCCTTTTGGGACCAACTAGATAGTGAAGTCGTAAAACAAATGTGTCTTTCCAATGAAATGCTATTTGCTTAAAAGGTATAGGACAGAACACTCCTAATCTCCCAACTAACAACCTTGCAATTTAATTATATGACTCCACCTACTACACCATCCCACTTAATGTATATATCTTAATATGTACATATGTTTAAAATTCATCCTAAATATTAGCCAGTGTGAACAGTGTCTATCTTAAGTTTCAAATCCTAGAGTACTGGTTCCCATCCAATGAGCCAGAAATCCACGGAGAGATAGAGGAGTTATTGCAAAGAATCATCAAAATACATGTGTCTACATGAAGAATAAAGAAACAATATGATTCACACTGTATTTTTCCAAGCTAATAAAGATTGCTGTGGCTAATAAATTTCTTAATAAATTTACTGGAGAATGGTACTACTAAGTAGTTTATCATTAGTAATTTTTGATGAATATTAAAAAGCTCTTATCTAGGCTCTCTAGAGAGTGTTCCTTTTTTTTAAAGATTTTATTTATTTATTAATTCATTCATTCATAGACACACACACACACACAGAGAGGCAAAGACACAGGCAGAGGGAGAAGCAGGCTCCCTCTGGGGAGCCCAATGTGGGACTTGATCCCGGGACCCTGGGATCACAACCTGAGCCCAAGGCAGATGCACTCAACCAGTGAGCCACCCAAGCGTCCTGGGAGCATTCCTTTTTGAAAGGGCTGCCCATAAGTCATCCAGAACAAGAGTAGTAGACTGTACTTGGTTTGAGCGCAGAGATATAACACAGGCATAGTTGGGAAAGTGCATGAAATTACTTTAAAACAGCAACCTCAATGCTAGGTAAATAGAATTCAGAAACCAAAGTGGAGAAAAGTTAAAGGGCACAGCCCTCCTCCCCTATTTACAGTGCCTAGTAGCAACATATTCACAGGAATTTCAGTCAAGGGGCCAAACGTATTCTAGAATACAAACATATCCCAGCTAAGCGCTTTGTCAGGATTGTCACCTTTCTGAATTAGTGTTATAGCTTCTTTAAAATTCTGTATTTTCTAAATTGTATCAATAATAGTGTAGTTTTTCAAATGTGTCCTATACATATACGGGCTTCTTGTGCGCTGAATGCCAGCCAACTGAAATCAAAAAGAATGACTTCCATTAATTTAAAACAAAGAGAACGTGTTTGCACAAAATACTCCAATGGCAAGAACAGACTGTACCTAGCCCAGGTCCTGACACACAGTAAGAAGGCACGTGATATCTGGTGAATAAATGAATCCATTTCAGCCCTACTCTGAAAAATAACCTCGGCAAGCACGGAAAAATATCCTACCACTCCAAAAAATACCCTCCAGTCCCAGTCAGTTACCAATTCATTCTCATAACCCAGCAAGAACAATTTGCATGAAAGCCTTACACACACACACACACACACACACACACACACACACACACACACACACGGAGGCAGCACTTAATTCCCATTAGGTTCACTGCCTGATACATGGCCTTATCTGCACTTGCCCATTTGCATAAATTCAGGACTCACCCTTCATTTGCTATGAGGTGAATTTTAAAGCTTCCAGTAAGTTTTATTTTTCAAATCAAAAATCCTTTCAAAATTTTATTTTTCAAATCAAAATTCTATTCACGGTACACCGTATCCTACCAGGGATGACTTTAAGGCAAAAATACACAGTTGTCAAAATAAAAATCTTATTTTTTTTTCTCTTCTACACATCTAATACATTCACTTATATGTTTACTATTTCACATTAGTTCTCAAATACAAAAAAAAAAGTGGCCTATTTAAGAAATTTTAGGGTCTGTCAACATTTGGAATATACTGCTGTTTTTATATATATATTTGCATCCTGGAATAAGACTTAGCCTAAGCTTTCCACAGAACCATTTCCTGGGCACTTAGTAACTTATTCTATGCCAGGTTCTATGCTTGACACATTACTCCATTATCCCATTTGTTTAACAAATACCCTCTTACAATTTTTGCAGTACTAAACAAGAAGCCAGTACCCTATAAACCTGATATCTGTACCAGATACTAGCACTAAATTTACCAGTGATACTTCATGTAAGTTTCTTGTTATTAAATTCAGGTTGTTTTACTGTATTAAAACAGAATCGGATCAGCAATGTTGAGATGCACAGAGAATAACCATCTGTGATCGCTTCAGCAGAGAAAGCTATTATTAGGTGACTACTTAAGTTACATTCCCTTCTATGGGGAGATGAACACAACCTTATCTAACCAGAAATTTAATTCCAATTACTACACGCCACCTTGAACAGCATAATCTAAATAAAATGATGATATAAAGAACCCCCGCTTCCTTCTGAAATTGCTTTAAAACTGTAGATTAAAATCTCCTCCCCACCCCAAGATCTGCTCCGCATATCGTAAAAAGGCGTCTTGATTCTGAACTTTGAAAAAATAAATGGGGACATTTTTCCTCCTTGTGAATTAATTCAGACGCAACAGACCATTCTAGTTAAAAAAAAAAAAAAAAAAAAAAAAGAATTAATGAGGCTCTTCAAAAGCTCCCCGAAACCACCACCCCAAGAGCAAAACTAGGATTTTCCAAGTCGTTCCAAGAGAGGGAGATGGGGGGTGGGGGGGGAGAGGAAGGCCCCATACAAAGAAAACAAAAAAGTAGTTGCTTGACAAAGAAGAAAGTTGAAGAAGGGATGGCCTCAAAAGGAACCTAGGGTCTTAAAAAAAAAAGAAGAAAAAGAAAAAAGAAAAAGGAAAAAAAAGAAAAAGAAAAAAAGGAACAGGAACAGGAAAAGGAAAAGGAAAAAAGGGGGAGGAAAAAAAAAGGAACCCAGGGTCTGCCTCTCAACCCAAGGACTCGGGGGCTGCGCGGGATTTAACTACATCACCACCTAAGAGTTTGGGGACCAGAGCCAAAACCTCCTCGGGCGGTGGGAAGAGCAGCGCGCTGCCCTCACGCACGTGCATCCCTAAGGATGCTACGTGTGGGCCACGGAGAGAAGCCGCCGGAGGCACCGAGCGCAGCGCGCGGAGGGGCTTTATTTGGAACCTGAAGGGCCCTCGGAGCTCTGCCGCCTCGCACCGTGCCCGCCCGGCCAGCTCCTGCACGGCCTGCCCCGACACCGACAGCTTGGCAAGGGGGCCTGTCTCCGACCCGGGGGTTCCCGGGCCCCGAATGCCATGGGGGGGGGGAGATGGAGCCAGGCGTGGGGGGAGGGGAATGGAGCCGGGCGGGGGGGGGGGGAGCGGCGGGGGGGGGGGCGGGAGATGGAGCCGGGCAGGGGCGGGGGATGGAAGCGGGTAGGGGGGGTGGAGCCAGGCGGGGGTGGGGGGAACGGAGCCGGGCGGGGGAGGGAGATGGAGCCGGGCACGGGGTGGGGGGAGGAGATGGAGCCAGGCGTGGGGAGGTTGGAGCCGGGGGTGGGGGGTGGAGCGGGGGGGGGAGCCGGGCGGGGGGGGAGATGGAGCGGGCAGTGGGAGATGGAACCGGGCACGGGGTGGGGGGGAGATGGAGCCGGGCACGGGGTGGGGGGGAGATGGAGCCGGGCGGGGGGAATGGAGCCGGGCAGGGGAGGGTGGAGCCAGGCAGGGGGTGGGGGGAGATGGAGCCGGCGGGGGGGGGGAGATGGAGCGGGCAGGGGGGATGGAGCCGGGCACGGGGTGGGGGGGAGATGGAGCCGGGCGGGGAGGAATGGAGCCGGGCAGGGGAGGGTGGAGCCAGGCAGGGGGTGGGGGGAGATGGAGCCGGGCACGGCGGGGGGGGGGTGGGTATGGAGGCGGGCGGTGGGGGCAGGCTCCTTCCGCCCGTCCTCCCTCCCTCCCTCCCTCCCCCCGTCACCCCGGCCTCCAGCCGCCCGTCCCGGTATCAGGGTCTGCACACTGGAGCACCTGCTTCTTTCCACTCGGTGCCTCCCCTCCCGAATGGGAGCTTCGCGATGCCGGGCGGGTCCTTCCCCGAGACCCGGCCCCGAGCGCCCAGGACGCGGGGAGGTCGGAGCGCGCGCGTGCAGCTGGGCCTGGGCCTGGGCCGGGGCGGCGAGGGGGGGGGGGGTGCGGCAGGTGCAGGAAGCCGGGGCCGCCGCCGGGCCCGAGGGGAAGCGGCAGGAAGGGACGCCCGCGCCGCGGCGCCGCCCGAGGTCACGGCCGCCCGGCCGCCCCGCCGCCCCGCCGCCCCGCCGCCGGCCCAGCGCCAGGCCGCCCGGCCGCAGCCCCTCGCTCGGCGCCCGCGCTCCCGGACAGCCTGCCCGCGGCCTCCCTACCCCGAGCCGGAGCAGCGTCGCCCTCTACACTGTACGAACTTCCCGCCGCTTTCGCCGACTTGCGACTCCGCGGCGGCGTCGGCCCCGGCACACCCCGCAGTATGGAGCCCGCTCATTGGCTGAGGGCGGGCGGCGGAGGCGGGGCAGCCGGGGAGCGGGGCGGGGCCCGCGCCGCCTCCGCGGGCATGCCGGGAGTTGTGGCCCGGCGCTCCCGCTGCATGCTGGGAAATGGAGTCTTTCCCAGGCTCAGGGCGGTCCGGGTCTCCCTCTGCGTGTCCGCCTGGGTTTCCAGACAAGTGTGGTGTCCTACCTGCCAGTAGGTCCTATCATATACTGTACCCTTCGATGCTGTTGGAACCGGAGTAGATATTGCCAGTGTTCCCAGTGGCTTGATTTATCGCATAAGTGTATTGCAAAGGGTTGGGTGTAAAAGGAGCCCTATAAGTCCTGGGAGCTGAGGGTCTCCTGTGCCTCCTGAGGCTTGCGTTTTCCCACCTTCTGCTCCCCCAGCAGCTTGGTTCAGGGTCCTATGGCCAGGGTCTGGAAGCAAACAGCCCGCAGTGCAAACCCTAGCTCTCTCACTTTGTAGCTTTGTGATCTAAGGCAACTTACTTAATTAACCCCTGTGAGTCTTGCTTTCCTGCTTCTGTCAGGGTTAAATGAGATGACCTTAGACAGTGCTTTGCATACAGTAGATGTTCAACAAATAGTAGATAGCATTAATATTATTCTGCCCAACGATGGTCCTACATCTAAATCCTAATTGTCTTTCAAAGCCTGCTTCAATGTCTACCTAACCTTCTGTAGCATCTCATCTATAATTCTCTTATGCCATGGTTTCCATTGTGTTTACAATAAACTGTCTAAGCCTCCATCATCCATGCAGCTGTAAGCTTACTGCAGACTGGGACAACGTTCTAGCTCAAAATCACCAAAGGCGTAGGCAGAAGGATATTGGTGAGGAGGGTGGTTGATGAGGTATTCCCCCTGGATCTTTGTTGACAAGGTCACCTCCACCAGGTGAGTCCCTCACTTGAAGGACACGCCCCTGGGCCCTCCCCTCCAGCTTGCAGTGACAGCTCCCTCCCTCCCCTGCAGATTAGCACCTCTACTACTCTGAACCGGGAGTTACTGCCCCACTCCTGTGCTTCCCAACCCTAAACCTTTGTTCATAGTCTCCTTGCAAATAAACCCTCCTCAGATCATTTTATCTCAATGTGTCACCTGCTTTCTGTTGAGACCCTGAAGGAAGCACATGCACAAGGTGAGTACTTGATGAATATTTGTCGGTAAAGAGGTCTCAAGATTCACACATCTCATGGGTGTGGAATTCCCCAGCAAGAAAATGTGCCCAGAATCCATTGAGAAAAAGAGACTCTAAACACACACACACACACACACACACACACACACACACACACACACACATCTGTGTGTTAAGAAGACTTGGAATAGGACTTATCTGTCACATTGTGACCATGTTCCCCTAACCTCACCATACACATACAGAAGAAATCTCCCTGCTTCCACCCTGGGTTAACAATTGGCTGTCCTTAAAGCACAATTAAGTCAACAGCAGTACATGGAGTATTCCAAGGTGAGAATGGAACATATTTCTTCTGGAGCTCATGATTACATCACCCTCAGTTGGATGGCTTACTGTTAAATGCTACTTAAATGCAGCTATGTTCCAAGGCAGTTGCTAACACCTCCAACACCACCCACACATGCTGAGATGTCCTACCAGTGCAAAGCATGGCAGGGGACCAGTCCAAGCTGCCGTCATGGAGACAGCGTGTCTGAAATGCTGTAGATGGGGATACACCCCCTGGGACGGAGGAGATCCTCAATGAATTTTGATGATCTGATAGCTTGGTATCAAGATCAGGGTTGTGCAGAAAGTTGACCAGCGATAACTTGCTATGGCTGGGTTTTAGAACTTAAGAATTGAACTAAAGAGGAAAGGTCCATGCATATAACCCTGCCATCTACGCGAAAACATCCACAGTCCAAATGTTTACTGAGCACTAACTCTGAGCCAGGGAATAAACTAACCTCTGAGGACTCTGAGGCTTCTGGTGTAACTAATGTTTAAGGGGCCTCTACCACGGGTTAGACACTGTGCTTTTTCATATACATTCAGGTCTTAAATTCAGGAAAAATACATTCAGAAAAAATATCTCAAAGACTAAATTATTCCAGGCCCCCTGAATCGACTAAGAATGGTTTTCACTACCCCTTTATGCACAGCTCCAGTACATTAGGAAACTTCTAATAAAGAAATAATTTCAATGCAGGAATAGAGATTTGTACACAAGGCTGTCATAGTCAGCTAATGGGGTTCCTGGCTGACAGATCATCATAGATAAAGTGGGGTGACCCATAAGTGGGTTCAGCTCAATGAACAAAAACTTTCCAGCTTCCTAGCAAGACAGACCAGCCTAAAATCTATGTGTGGGATCTGTATTGATTTGTCAGATAGCCAGGCCCCAGATTGCCCTTTTTTATTTCCAGGAGCCCAGCTAGCTCTTGTAATCCTCATACAAAGGCACAGAAAGGTAACAACAATACAACAGAGCACTTTGACGAAGAGAGAGAGAATGTTGGTTTTGGCTAGACGGTGGCAGAAAAGGTCTGTGAAGTTCAATATGATAGCCACCAAGAGGAAATATTGCCCTGGCAGGCTGTCTAGCAGTTACTGGTTCTGCTGATGAGTCAATGCATGAGTCCCGGTCTCTGTTGTTTTCATCCGTAGAATGGGGATAATCATCCTGGGCCAACCAGTTCTCTGCCTTCCCAGGGCTTTGAGAGGACTTTGATCTACCAGGAACAAAGCCGCTGGGGTGTCATTAGTCAGTGTAGGCAACCTAACAACAACCCAATGAAATATTACTTCCTGGGAAGAGGGAAAAGGAAGAGGAGGCAAGAGTAGAATGTAGACAATGGTCTTCTGAGTACCCTGCCCCTAGTGCCGAGAGCTGGTATTTCCATTTTAGCAAGGACTTTTGAGCATCTCCCTTGTGCCAGGCACAGTGTCCTCAAGAAATCTGTAATCCAGTGGGAAAGCCAGACATGTCTACAAATTCCAGGAGCTGTGATTTTTTCGAGCACGTATTATGTGCTGGGAAAACTATCCCTGGTAACCCTGAGAGGTAAATAACATGATCCCTGGTGTCCAGGTGAGTAGACAAAGCCCCAGAGAAATGAACTGATGTGTTCAATGTCACTGCTGGTGACCAATAGAGCTGTCTGACTCCATATCCATCCTGATATTACAGCTGATGTTGCAAAAGCTAATGATGTAAGGAGTAACTGGTGACACACAGACTCCATGTACTGAGAACGCAGAAAGAAGAGCCAGTTGCTCTGCCAGGCTTCATAGACAAGGTGACAGACATTGATCTAGTTGGTCTATTGAACTAATCTGGTGACGTCCACAATAGTAGAGACAGGTCCTTTTAGATTTAATGACACAATAATTGATGAGTATAGATTATTCTGAGGTCAGAAGTGTATAAAGGGGGTTTTAAAAGGCCTAGAAAATGTTTCCTCCTCCTCCTTTTCCTTATCCTTATAATGATGATGACAACAACGACAATGATGATGATGGAGGTAATGGTGATGATGACAGCTTCCATTCATTATATCAAGTATTTTCCAGGAATTGTGCTAATACTTTGCAAACAAAATTTCAAGAAATTTTCACAATAGCCCTTGGAGGTTGGTATTATTACCCCTTCCCCCACTGCAGAGATAAGGAAACTAAAGCTCAGAGAAGGTAAGTAACCAACTCAAGGTCACACACCTAGTAAGTGATGCAGCTGGACTTTAAGCCAAGGTTTCAACCAACTCCGAAGACCAAATGTTTAACCACTCCTCCTGCAGTGCACTAACCATTCATCATTTCATGTGTTTCTATCTCCCGAGCTGGTTTTCAAGACACCATATTTATCTGTCTTTCCCAAGTTTTAAGAAATTAATGGTACGGGAAAATCTAATGTGTGTACCTCCAGGAATGACTGCATGGTTTCTCAAGGATGCTGGTTTGCCAGCTCTCAGCAGAGGATATTGGTGGATGGGTTGCTCTCAGCCTACTTGGGAGGAGTGACAGATAAAATCTACTGTCACTCAGCACATGTTTCTACCATCTTCTACTGCCCCTTCCTACTACAGAGGCTGCAAAGCTAAAACCTGCATTTCCCAGACCCCCTAAGTGCTTAGGGCCCTAAATGTATATTATGCTCCATCAGGTGAGATTCCTTAGGAAGATTTGAAGGCAGAAGTGAGGCATCAACATAGTCACAGAGTCTTGGGATTTTTTGCCACCATGTTCCAATTCCATGTTTCTTATTTTGCTGTCAGAAGACACTTGCTCTGGTGGCAGGTGCAGTTGTGAGTACATGTAATAAAGACTTTAACCTTGCCCAAAAGGAGCTCTGACCTTCATCCCAGTGTCTGGGAGATAATCTCTAAGACCTTGAAATCTCACACTTGAAAGGAGTGTCTCTGTTTGCCTGGAAGCCTTGGGTCACAAGATGGTCTAATAAAATGGTTTAGGGTAGGGCCTGGCTATGCTGGAAGAACCAACAACACAGTGTATGGCTGGTGCTTTGGGTCAGGCAATATCAGTCAACTTCCAGAGGGACTAGAGATCGGCCACGTGGGCAATCAATCATATCTTTGTGCAGAGCCCCAATAAGAACTCTGGACATGGAGGCTTGGGTGTCTGGTTGGCAATACTGGAAGCATTGTCATGTACTGATACTGGGAAGTAATGCTGTCCTAACCCAGCAGAAGAGGACAACTGAGGCTCTATATTTGGAATCCTCGGTTCTGCTC